TATATATATATATATATATATATATGTACTTTATTGTTTATTAATACTCTTTCTTTCTCTGTGTGTGCACCTCCCTCTCCCTCTCCTAATACACATTATATATAATATAATATAAATAAATAAATAAATAAATAAATAAATAAATAAATAAATAATATTATTTACCCTTAAATAGATCCCTAAGAGGTTCAAGTACTTGTAGTTGCATGCGTTGTGGTAAACCCCCAACATTATGATGAGTTTTTATTGTCTTAGATGGACCCTTATAACTCTTAGATTCAATTACATCTGGGTATAATGTACCCTATAAATAAATAAATAAATAAATATAAATAAATATAAATAAATATAAATAAATAAATAAATAATTGTGCAAAGAAATGCTACTTTTCTATGTATTATTCAACTTTTTTTTTAAGATTTTAAATTTTTAGGGTTTAGGGTTTAGGGTTTAGGGTTTAGGGTTTAGGGTTTATACCTGTAATAGAAGAGTCCCTTTAACGGGAATATTTTTTTTTTGTACAGCTTCCTCAAATACATCAATGAATAAAGCCCCAATAATTTTTCTTTTTTGTTCTGGATCTTTTACGTCTACTAATGCATTAATAAATCTATCTTTTGCGTCTATACACTCAATAGATAAATCAGGAAAACAATTCCTTAATGCATGCATTGTCTCTTCTGCCTCATTCTTCCTGTATACATTTATATACAACATATATACACATATATACATATATACATTTATTTATTTATTTTTTTTTATTTTTATTTTATTCATTATATTTATATATTTACCCTATATACCTCTAAACCCTAAACCCTAAACCCTAAACCCTAAACCCTCGATTATTTGTCCAATAGAGATATATCCCTTAAACCCTAACAAAGATCAGGAACACCATGATCAACAGCAGCAGCAACAACAGCAGCAGCATCAACAGCAGCAAGACTACATCACCAGCAAAAACAGGTAGTGTTTAGGGTTTAGGGTTTAGGGTTTAGGGTTTATATACCTGAGTAATCCTGTATCAATAAAAAAAGCATAGAATTGGTTACCTATAGCCTTATAAAGAAGAGCAGCAGCAACAGTTGAATCTACACCACCAGATAAAGCCCCAATAACATGTTTTTTTTGTATTTGTTGCTGCAGTAGCTGTATCTGTCTAGGTAAATATGTATGCATGCACCAATTTAATTGTAATTTACATATACGTAATATATAATTCTTTAGTATATATACACCGCAGGGTGTATGCGTAACCTCGGGATGAAATTGGAGTGTATATACACCTAAATTAGGTGCAGCAGCAGCAACATAAGGACAAGAAGATGTTGATGCTAATGCCTGCAGCAACACAGCACACATATTTATATACTTATTTATTTATTTATTTATTTATTTATTTATTTATTTATTTATTTATTTATATACATGCATGCATGCATGCATTTATCCATCCATACATGCATACATCCATCCATCCATCCATGCATGCAAATAATACGCACGTATAACCATGCATGCAATCCAATACAACATAACGCATGCATGCATGCATGCATGCATGCAGCACAATATGCATGCAACAAGGAAACATACACACACATACACACACACAACAACAACACACACATATACATACATGAATACATGAATATTCATGCATGCATGCATCTGCATGCATGCATATATGCATGCAAATAATTCTTACAATAAAAGAAGAAGGTAATTGTTCAACTTTATCTCCATGACTCATCCATACTTGTACATCTGGTCCTTTTATACCATAAAATAAATCCCCTAATGATGGGGCTGTTGCTGCATGCGCTGCAGGTACAGGCCATGGCTCCCCTCCTCCTGCTGCTGCTGCTGCTGCTGCTGCTGCTTCATCTGCTGCTAATTCTGCTTCCTTTGCTTCTGCTGCTGCTGCATCATTATCCATTAAATTATTATTATTATTATTATTATTATTAATATAATTATTAATAGTAATAATAGTTTTGCCGTACTCTCTTGCTTCTCCTCCTCCTATTACTCTTCCTCCTAATTGGTATACTATCTCCTGCATACCATAACAAATACCTAAAATAGGTACCCTTTTTTCTTGTAATAACTCCCATACATCACGATTTAAATGGGGGGCCCCCTCCTCATACACCGAAGAGGGGCCCCCACTAAGTACTACTGCAGCAGGACGTATTGCTGATATTTCCTGCAGGAAAAAAAAGAAGGAAAAAAAAAGAAGAAAGAATAAATAAGAAGGAATAGGAAGAAATAAGCTATTTATATATCTATTCGTAGCTGGCTGATGATCAAGAGGAAGGGAGAGAAGAAGATGAAGATCATGCTGCAGAGAGAAACATCTGTTGCTGCTGTTGCTGCTGTTGCCGTTGCTGCTGTACTAACAATTCTAATAGTGTTGTGGGTATATATAGAGAATATATATGCACTGCTCTCTGCTGCCCTGCCTTCTACTGGTTCTGTGGATGCAGGGGGGTAAGTTAAGGTAATGCAAATAATGAGTGTTTATTTAGAGTGTATATACACCTTAGCTGTTGCACTGCAAGAAATAAGCTCCGAGTAAGCGCCAATGGCACGAAGGCGTCGTACAATTAGACGAGAGTATTGGGAGCCGAAATCAAGAACAAGTACAACGTGCTTTGAAGGCCGTCTGTGGCCTTCAGAGGTAAAATCATTAAATTCAGTAGAAGAATTCGTCATTATTTAAAAGAAAAAAGAAGAAAATGCGTTTATTTAATGGGTATTATACACCGAAGTATTCAGAAACCTGAAAACTTGAATGCAGAAACCCGCGGCAAAAAAGAGGGGAAATTGACGGATAAAAGAAACGATCCGCAAGGTAAATAAACAATATATTGTAAAATAAACACAAAAATAATAAATAAATAAACAAATTAACAATTATAATGAAGATTTGATGAAAATTCAACAAAGAAGACCTTCACGGTCATTTATTTACTCACACCAACGACTTTTTCAGGTGTATAGGCAGCTGGTGTATACGATGATGTGGGGGAGGCACAGAAGAGAACAAGAGGTTAAATATAATCAAATTAATTTATTTATTTAATTAAATATAGTTAAATTATATTTAAATAATAAAATATACAAAGAAAAACATAAAAGCCCATCGATTAATTCCTCTAGGATTACCCCTCGATGCTTCCTTACTAATAATATAATGAAAATATCTTTTGTTATAATTGCTGCAGTTGCTGCTCTTCTCTGTACAAATAAACCATTAAATAATATTTTTATTTGTTTTATTTAATTAATTAAATCTTTTTCTTCTTTTATTTCCCTCTTTATTTCGTCTTCCTCCTTCTTTTCTTCTAAATACACCGCATGCATGCAGATCTGAATCGGACTCTCTTCTCTACACGACAGTCAGCTGTATACAGAAACAGCAACAATACAGGAAAAAGGATACTAATTGTTTTCTTGTTCTTCCTTTTTATTTTTTTATTTATTTTTATTATTTTATTTGCATAGAAGAATAAAAAAAGAAGACAAAAAACATTAGATATTATACAGCAACACCAGCAGCAGCAGCAGCAGCAGCAAAGAGCAGATCTGTTTGCTGCATTTCTGTAGATACACCCTACACACATTTACATTTATATTTTATATAAATATATATTATACATATATATTTATATGTACGTCTAATACATATCTATATGTGCATATAGTATATATTATATATGTATATACATGCATATAAGATATAAATATAAATACGCATATTTATATAGACAGGCAAGAAGTGTATATACATATATATATATATATATATA